GTCCTGGAACACAGACACACATTTAGACGTCCTACAATAGTTGTCTTCCTGGACCTTAAGGCGGCATTTGACTCAGTGGATCGTGAGGTTCTGTGGCAGTGTCTGTCATTGAAAGGTGTACCAAAGAAGTACATTAACCTTATACAAGCACTCTACTCGAACACCACTGGTCGGGTGAGAGCATATGGCGAACTGTCATCTGAATTCTCTACATCAAGTGGTGTCCGTCAGGGATGTCCACTTTCTCCATTCTTGTTTAACTTTGTTGTAGACATCCTCTTAGAGTTAACATTAAGCTCGTCAGATTTTTCAGGGGTTGACCTTCTACCAGGAAAGTCGCTTACTGATCTAGAATATGCCGATGACATAGTTCTATTCGGTGAAGACGCTGACAAAATGCAGAGTCTTCTGACTACCATAAGCAACAATGCGAGCATGTTCGGGATGCGGTTTTCCCCCTCGAAATGCAAAATGTTGCTTCAAGACTTGGTTGCATTGGCACCTGAACTAGTGATAGGGAGTGAAGTAGTCGAGCGTGTTGATCACTTCACTTATCTGGGGAGTCTCATCAGTGCTGACGGCCTGGTGACTAACGAAATCTCAGCTCGGATACAGAAGGCTCGATTGGCTTTTGCCAACCTGCGTCACTTATGGCGTAGGTGTGATATCCGTTCGCACCTCTACCTTTGTCTTTCTAACCTTATCTCACTGAATTATATTTTTTGAATAATATCTTCAAACCCTAGTCTTCTTTATTAACATTAATACCTCTACTATCTTTATCACTATGGGATTTGATTTGACATTTGCGTCTCTGTGCTAATAATGTGGTATGGCAACATGAACTTATGTACATACGTACGAAGTTCTACGTTGCAACTGACTGACTGACTGACTGACTGATTCAATAGTTCCTTTAAGTTCTCTACCCACCTGTTTCGCTGTTCTTCAGTGTTGCTGATAACTTTGCCTTCCTTGCTTTTCACTGGTCGTTCTGGTTTACGATAGTTCCCGGCGAGCTTCTTTGTTGTTTCGTACGATTTTCTGAAGTTTCCGTCTCTTGAAGCCTTTTCCGCCGTCATTGCTAGATCTTCCACATATTTTCGTTTGTCAGCTCTGATGCTCTTCTTCACTTCTCTGTTTGCTTCTGTATATGCAGCTTGTGCGGTAACTTTCTCTGCTCTTGTTCGGCTGACATTGATTGCTGCCTTCTTGTTCCTCCTTTCTTCAATTTTTGCAAGAGTATCAACAGAGATCCATTCCTGGCGATGGTACTTCTTGTGACCCAGAACTTCGTGACATGTTGAAGTGATTGCCTCCTTAATCCCTTTCCAATTGTTCTCCAATGTTGCGTCCTCTCCATTGAGTGGATCCTGCAAGGCCTGGAATCTATTGGTGAGGGCTATCCTGAATTCGTTGAGCTTTACAGTATCCCGAAGAAAGGCTGTATTAAACTTGTGTGATGTTGTCTGCCCCGTTGTCCAGTGCTTCTTTAGTTTCAGTTTCATTTTGGCGATCAGCAAGTGGTGATCTGAGGCTAAATCAGCTCCTCTCTTCGTTTTCACATCCTCCATGGTCCTTCTGAATGTTTTGTTGATACATATATGGTCGATTTGGTTTTGAGTAGTGTGTTCCGGTGAAATCCATGTGGCTTTGTGAATGCGTTTGTGCAGGAATATTGTGCCACCGATGACCAGTTTGTTGAAGGCACATAGGTTTGCAAATCTCTCACCATTTTCGTTTCTTTCTCCCAGTCCATTTCGTCCCATGATGTCTTCATATCCAGTGTTGTCCATGCCAACCTTGGCATTCAGATCTCCCATAAGAATCGTCAAATCCTTTGGTGAGCATTTCTCGACGATTGACTGCAGCCTTTCGTAGAATTGATCTTTAACGTCGTCATTGTAGTCATTGTTAGGTGCATAACATTGGATGACGTTCATTGTAATGTCCTGTTTCTTTGTTTTGAAGGATGCCTTGATGATCCTCGGTCCATAAGATTCCCATCCTATCAGTGCCTTTTGTGCATGTTTGGACAGCATCAGTGCAACTCCTTGTGTATGTGAAGCATTCTCCTCTTCATGACCAGAGTATAACAGCAGTTCCCCTGAAGCTAGTCTCAGTTGTCCTACCTGTGTCCAATGCGTTTCACTGATGCCGAGCATCTCGAGGTTGTATCTTTTCATTTTTGCCGCAACTTGAAGCAGTCTTCCAGTCTCCCACAATGTACGAACGTTCCATGTACCTAAAAGAATGGTTGCTCTAGTTGTCAGAAGAGGCATCGGCCCCTTGACTTCCGAGGGAACTCGGCTTTGATCACGCGACGTCATAATTCTTCTTCCAACTCTCAGGTCAGAGTTAAAATGGTTTGAATTAGTTTTTCTGGTTAGTGTTTTTTGGCAAGTTAGTTTTAGTTGGGATAGGGTCGCCAACTCCATGTCCAACCTCTCCTCCTTTATCCGGGCTTGGGACCGGCAGTAGCCCTGAAGGGACTACTGGCGGAGTTAACTGACTATTACCTTCGCTGTAATCTTTATTGAAATAAATATTAGTTCTCTTATTTAGGTTAAAAAATTACTTTGTACGTTCATATAATCGTGGAACTAGCTTCGCTGTGTACGTCGGATACGAGATTGTGTTGTCTGCGGTGTTCATTGAATCTAATACATTCATTCCTCCATCAAATGCATTTAGTTTGAGAGCTTCTTTGTCGACGTAGTTCTGTAGATTGCGTTAAATTAAGTGGCGGGCTCACTACACTTGTGTAGGTGTGTTGTACTCTAAGTCGAGGATCACCAACTTATGTGGTGGTGGTGGCTACTTTATTTACATCGGTTGTGAAAAAATAATTTTTCTCAAGTTGTCATTCTCTTTATAGGTTAACTAGAATTTAAACTCATTTACTAATATTAATTGATGTAAGCCGATAATTTAATCATTTAAAATGATGTGGGATTCGTAGAAGTTGAATAGCTAAGAAACAAAAACATTGATTGGCAATTCATTGTGATTTTACTCCAACCATTTAACGTTCATCTAAGTTACAACATGTCATACAGTCTAATTAGTGTAATTTGATGAAAATGTTGCACTAAATGTAGTATCTAAACAAAACTTATAATTTCATAGTTTTTGTATCAAAGACTAACTTTATTTCAATGAACATTGAAAACCAGGGGGCACTATACAGTTGTTTTCTCTATACAAAAATCATCATCATTGCGCACTCAAAATCCTACCAAGGATTAGAATCCAAGACCTTAAGATCTCAACGTCCTACTGAGGGTTCAACCATGTGATTGAAATAGTTACCCATCAATGGTTTGGAAAGATGGTATTGATTAAGGTTGTATGTAAACCATTCTTTGATGTCTCATTAATCTAAGAGTTAATTGCTCGCCCTGAGGCCTGAAATGTCCTGACTACATACTTCTGAAGACTGTCATATTAGGATAAGACAGCTATTTAGAGTCTTTTGGTTCTCGATGGTTATTGAATTAAAGTCAGCTCGTTTTTAAAGTGAAATGTTGTATGGCCTCCATAAACCCCCCCTATTGATAAAAAGCTTAGAATGTTTATTTATTTTATATGGATCTCAGAACACGTCTTATTTTAAAAATTAAGTTTAAACTATTTATCATTATACTCATGTACAGCTTGTACATACATACATAACTACTGTAAATAATCGTTTTATCCCTCGACTTGTAATTATTTCTTTGGTATAAAATGTTTTTACTATTTCAAAAATCTTTTGAAATGAATTTGTTAATTTAAATTTTGTCCTAATTGTACAATCATAATTTCTTTCTATTTTCTAACTGTCTTTAAAATTGAGGATGATATATATTTATTACAGTAGGTCAAGTTGGTTTGTGTGTAATATGTTTTTCAACGAAATTATCAGTGTCCTTATGATTTCCCATAGAGCTTAAATTTAAAAATCCTATTGGTTTAAGGAATTTTTAGATGTGCCTACCTAAAACTTTTGTGTACAATTTTGCTCTGAACTCATCAGCTGACATCGTTATCTGATCAATCTCACAGTTCGTCATACACATACATTTATATTCTCTTTACGCATGGAAACATTTTGAAGCAATAGGAAAGATGTGTATGTGAAGTAATTTTGCGTAAGGAATGGCTTTCCTTTTCTCCGAAGATCGTTATAAAAGCCATATTCAACTAAGATAACCACGAAGTACCTAAAAGCACTGGATGACCGTTTCGTCCTGTTATGGGATACCTCAGTATGCACCCACAACCTTGCAATTTGAAATCGGATGAAGGACTTTCGTTTTCGTACCTGGCTGCTTAACTTCTAAACTACTTAGTCGGCAACTCATAGCGTACAAGTCTAACTTCCATCGATTCAGTATGGGGTTAAGACTATTACTAGATTTCATTGCGATCACGGATTGATCGAAGTCAGAAAACCTAGATAACGCTTAGAATAGTATATTTAATGATAAAATGTAAAATTAACGTTTTGTTGGCTGAAATAATCGTTACTAAAGTTTTCGTGAGTCAAAGAGATGCTATATGATGCGTCTAAACTTGACGTGTTATCTGATGAAATCTGGGCATGGATCGAAAACGTTCAACTGACTTTTGCCAGATTGTTTCAGTTGTGTAAGAGGTTACCTGGTTAAGATCCTCGCGATTATTATAAACAGCATTGGGGAGTGTTATATGATTCGACCGTTCGCAGTGGTGGAGGTGCATCCACTTTTTCCTAATGACCTAAATCCCAAAATCTTGTACTCATTTTTTTAATTTCCAATCTTTTCTACTACTGCCATGTAAGTGATAGGTTATTTAAACCGACGCTCATGTGCCACGTTCTGCGCTGCATATGTCTCTGATGTGCAAAATGACACATGATCCTTTTGACTTTGTCAGCATATTCTTTAAATCATTATATAATTGTAGTTTCTACTTTTTTCCGACTATAAAAGGAAAACCAACAATTATTTTCCCCCTTTTTCATTTTCAAACAGAGAAATGATATCACGCATAGATCAAACGGAATTTGATGGTTTCGAATATGTGAATCCTTTGCTTATGTCATTGGACGAACAAGTATAAGAGGAATTCCTGTTATTTCCCTCGATCCCCCTCCCGATGGCTTGTTGTGTTAACTTATGATCTGTGTCTTCTTCTTTTATTCATTGCAACATCATATCCATGGAGAAATTAATAAGTAGTATTTCATACTGAATTCTTTTAATCTATTTTGCACATTCCACACGGTTCGATTAGAAAAACAAAACTTGTTTAAATCATTCCTCAACAGCTCAAATAATTGAACAACATATCATACATTAAAATATTTTCACTTCTCTTGATTTTAGTGGGTAATTCCTTAAATGTTTTTTTTAAAGAAAGACTATTGCCTACTTTATAGTTTATAATTTTCTAAGTATATATATAATTTTTTTAGGAAAATACATTTTGTTTGTTTATAACCAACCAGCTTACTTCATTGCTACGTGTTTCTACTTTCCACTTTGTTTCGATAAACGGACTTGTTTAAGTCTGCCCGCTCAATCTCGACAAAATAAATACTGATTGTATTTCTTTCTGTGTTTCCTACTTCATGAATCGTTTTCCTGTTTATTGATGATTAATGTATCTTATTTTCGTTAATGCTTTAAGCTGGACTATCAGTAAATGTTTGTTCCAGATATTGATGTGAATTGGATGGTAAAGTGAAATACTACTAAATTCAGCACTTAAGTGAAAACAACTTTCTGACCTCTTGGACGCTTTACCTCCGCTTGACAAATTTAATTAGAGTCAACTAATCGGAACGTTTGCACTGAAAATTTGAAAAGCCATGATAATTTGTTAAAGCTCGAATGATAAAATCTCCCAGCTACGCAAATATATTTTCCTCACTCGAATTCATTGATAGTATCAAAAAGAAACTGAGCATTTCGAATATAATTTCCGCTATTAAGCGGCAGCCATTCTGAAAGAACCCATTTTGAATTGTTAATTAAACTATTAAGTAATCATTGGTTTCGAGTAGATACACGGCTACGTCCATAACTTTATAAAAATTATCCTAAAGTCTTCGCTAATTACTTTGACTCTAGATAAAGTTTTCAGTAATCCTTTTTTTGAAGCAAGTCTTTCCTACTCCTGAGTGTTCGTTTACCAACAGTATTTGTAAGCTATCTACCAAGGCATTCGAAATTGTATGGAGTACAGCGATCAACAACATCCTATATTTCGGAAAATGCAGTAACTTTAAAACATTCAGATTGGTTAGGACATATCACCAATTATGTACCATCTAAACATTCCTAAAGTTATGGATTCACACTGTCATGCAGAATTACGAGTTATCCGCCTAGTTGTGTGTAAATGTGCTTTGTTAGGTCCCTTTATTTGTTATGCCCTTTATTACGTTACGCTAAGCTTACGTAATATCTTCATTCGTCCGTAATTTTCAAATATTTATTTCGAGGCTTAATTTGTTGATTATTAGTCGTATTCTTCATCTGAACGTTTTGGAACTATTGCATTTGAAAGTAAAAATGCTTATCCTGATAATTTAAATATCTATCATCTTTCGTAGCCCCTCTGTAACACACGACTAAGGTTGTGGAATAAGAGTAGTGTGTGAGACATTCACATGATCTACGACAAGAAGCGTTGTTTATTGGTACCTGCTGTTGTAGTCTTATTTTCCACACAAGAAAACACCTGATTTCCATGTAATTTCCACCAAATTATGTAATTCCCCAAACAGAACGATCTACAAAAGCACTGAAATTATAAACTACTTATGTATTGATATGTTAAGAATAGAAATACAATGACATATTTGTAGTACATCGGGTAGTCTGGAGAAAAAAACCGGTAAATAAATAACTCTTCGAATATTGGGCGCAATTATTAGAAAAGCAAAGAAAGCCAGGCGAACACAAGGGTTATGCCACCAATTGGTGCAATTCTAGAAAACCGATCATCTCTGCTTAAAGCCACATAGTAGCAGGAGCCAGAGAATAGTAGAGTTCCAGTGGCGAAGAGAGCAGGGGACTGCAATGGATTAGACCAGGTTCGCTGAAGTTAGTGACTTACCAAAAGAGGACGTTTGAATAAAGGTGCGTTTAACAAAACCACGGAATGCACCAAGTGATAATAAGCTCCAGTCTTGAAAACTTGTCTTTGCATTTCTTCTTCATCTCTGAAACCTAAAAGCTAAAACTTGGGAGAGAGGAGACTTAATTTTTTACCATGTGCACCATACGCGCTTGCAATAATGGCCAAAGCACCGGATAATCCAGCCAGTCGTACCGACACTGACCCCCAACTAAACGGTGGCTTAACTTCAATCACAGGAGTAGATTGACTACTTCTATTATAACCCATGAGATTTAATATTCCGCCAACGTAAGGCAGATACACCATCTACAAAAAGTTAAGAAATGTCAACAAACCACCGGTATTAAGTTTACAGTAGTATTTCACAGATTAGTATTGACAACAGAAAACAATCGAAATTATTGAATTGCTTATCATGGACTGACTAAAAATATTCAGATAGAGTCTAAATCATTATGTCCATGGGGCAACAAAATTGGACATCTTGAAAGGACTACATTTGTCACATTAAATTATATTTCATCACAAGCAGAGTTCCGTGATACAAGATACTTATTTAGTTCTCAAAGTCAGGAACTGTCATAAATTTTTAAACATAAATATTGATAAAACGGACACCAAAATTTATATACGCCATGCAAATCAATAGGTTCGTGTGGGTTGGGATGCTCTATCTAGGTACCTGAAACGAAGCAAGTGGTTTTCTTAAGGGGTCACTTCCTGAGCCTTCGACCTTTAGGTCTAATCCAAAAGGCAGTGAAATAACGTTAGGAAACGCAGTTTCAAGGTAGCCTGCGACTGACAATAGGTCCATACGCTATTCGTTTTATCTCGATCTTGGAGTTCATGTACACCACTAGTATGGAACCAGAATTTTCCAACTATCCACTAACCAAGTTACAGCACCAGACATTCGCTTTTTGTCCTTAATTTTGTAAACAACACCGTCGCCACGAGAAGGCTGTGTAAAACTTCTCTGTGGTGGCTATAAACGCGCGATCTAGTGAGAGAATTTTGAGAGGCGAAACGGAACCTTTCTAATCACACCTGTACCAGAGTATCTCGGAGTTACAGAGCTTCCAGATCAGAAGCCACCTTCAGGTTGCAGATAGTTCCATTCCTATTATTCGAGATAAGGCAATCGGTGAAGATTCTCTATACAGACCTTAGACTTGATTGACCTTCAGTGACTTTCTGTTCCTCAGCCTTGAGATATCGAATGACCAAGCTGTTAAGACAGCTACCTCTGTCTTCATCACAAAATGGTCTTAATCCTTCCTTACAGGCTATGAATATAAACGACTGAAATCACTTTGACACGACTATCTCTGATCAATACACTCCGGCTACATCTTGGTTATCCTAACTAACATCAAGGATTTTTTCGCAAGCCCCGTCACAACACGACAACTGGAGAGTAGCTGCCAAGGATTTAAACTGGCTTAGTTTGCTGCATGCTTTAACCATTTACTTTGAAAGGTTCTGTGACCTGACCAGAGAAAGTAATTGGAAACTTGAGGTAACCGCTTGCAATACGTACCATAGAGTTGTGGAATAAAAATAACAGACCATGGGGATATTCGCATACTGATGTGAAGAGATATCTTTGAAATCGAAAGCCAATAAGATAGTGACACTGTTTATTTAGTCCCAGTTATGCATGAGGAACTGTCACAACTTCTGCTAGCATCGCTGGTTCGACAATATATACCAGAGACAAGCATGAATAATGACGCTTTAGGTTATAAATAAATTATGAACACAACCTTAGTGAGTAATTATGATAACACTTCCCTAATGTAATAGTTCACAGGTTTATTCAGTGGATCCAAATGGATCTATGTGCTAACACATCCATAAAGCAAAGTTTAGCGACAGCAAACACTGAAGACTCACCTGTACTATCGAATTAACTTATGAGATTCTTCAAGATTTATTCCGTATGTAGAGCCTAATAAAATTACAAGTCCTCAACTTTCACCAGAACCAAATCACCGGTAGGAAACAACCATGTAGATAAACAGGCTTTGGTATGCTGCTGATAAGTTGTATTTGGTAATGAAGTGCTGATTCAGATAGCGCCTGCGAAATACAACGAACTCTAAAAGAGCGCGTTGCGTACTACTTCGCTGAAAGGATCCGATCCTTGTCTAAGTGCTTAAAACGATCCTTACAAATAACCTTTCCCCTAGTTTAGTCCATGGAATATGCAATGCAGCGACATTTATGTACAAATTTCCGAATATCTCCTAAACCGTTCCAATGAACGACTCTGGTTCCACAGTTCAATCTACTGAGGTTATGGGTGCATATTTGTCTTCCAAAAGTTGAATGTGATTTGGGCTGGGAAATCATCGTTGAGACCGATATATTAGTCAAAAACTTGAACTTCATGGTTACATACAGCCATCTTCATAATGGATTAATATTAGGTCTAGTAGGAATGATTTCGGGTCCAGTTCGTGCCTTCTTGCTCCTTGTATGCTTTGCACTAGGGTATTTTTAAAAACCATGTCGGTTACTGTTCGAAAGAATTTTCTGACAATTTAGTCCATAGATTTTCCAACCTACGGAACGTGCATGAAAGTCATCCAAAACCGAAAATCGACCACTTAAAGACCAAGTGTTGAACTTGTCTAACAAAACCTCATTCATCTAACAATTTTTGCTGCGGTAAACCAAACTAATCAGCAGGTCTTGTCTTCTGTTCTTCAAGCAGCAGCTAACTAATTTGCACATCCCATTTTCATGGGATATGTTCTCCTTAACAATAACCTTTTCCTTTCTGTCAGTTTTAGTTCATGTTAAATTTTCAAAATCATATTCTTTATTGTTTACAGGACAGATCAGCCAATTGTTTTTATCTGTTCACCTTTTTCCGATCGCATTTTCAGTAAGTTCGAGGCATCTGTATGACTAACCCGAGGACCATTTAAATGACATTCTGCCACACCTAAAATGGCTTCGGTGTTAGTTCCTGTCTTGCCTCTGTAATAAGTCTTCGGTTTCAGAACTGCCGATATGGGAACTGGCATTTTTGTGACGGCGTTTGGTCGTTTCTGTTTTAAGTACTGTACCCTTGTTATGAGCTTTACCTGGGATGACGATCACAGCTACGTTGCTCAGTGTGAGATTCTGGATACTGGTGATGACTTGGTGGACAGACTGTTTTTTAACTAGAGACCTCATCCGTGATCAGATTCCCAAGTCATTTTTCGGCTTCCTCCACTTAGACGAAGAGGCACAGAACAAACCTGCTTTCTTAAGTTTCATTCGCTACAGATCTCTGTGGGTCGGTCACTTCTCCTTGAGCTTACTAAAGTCTTTAGGCACTTGGCTTGATTTGAATGTCTGTTCATCGAGTTGCTTCAGTGGAGCTGGCATTGTTTTGACTGTTCCGATGTCTTCCGTCTATATGCCTTTTAGTATGGTTCACAGTTGCAATAGTATTGGATAACAAGCTCTTTGCATCCAAGCAACATCGAAGGTGCAACCAAACATACCCCCTTTTACTGAACCTTTTGAAAGCTGCAGGTGTCATATGTGTGCTTTCTTCTTTGTATTGCTGTTTGCACCCACCAAACTCCATAACACTTTCAACATGGCAACGCTTTTTGCACTATATAATTGTATAAGATAGATGACTGGAAGAGACAAAAGCTGATAACGAGAAAAAAGTGAACCGCTGACTTTTAAGTCCAAACCTGTCGGTAGCAAGAGGCAAAGCCACAGAGACTACAATTTGTGGGCTAACAGATAAGATTTCGGGTGACAAGTCTTGGATTTTGGGGTGAAGTCCAATCGTGTATATGACGGAACAGCATTTTGGCACAATAACTGAGAGCACTTCGTGATTAATATACGTACCTTTTACTACACATCAGAATTTGTTGAATGTTAAAACAGTAGTTTGTATTCACAGTGATCAGAAAACCAGCCACTAGGTAAATTTAACCTTCGGTAAGTTTGCATCAAGCGTGAAGGTACCATGTGTGTGGTAGGAGTGTGAGGAGCAGCATACGAAATCTTGAAGAAGAAGAAGAAGAAAGAAGAATAAAAAAGGTGAGTGAACGACTAGTTCAGAGCAAAGAATACTCCCACATTTTATTGTGAAGTAATCAACAGGAATCAGGCATAACATACGTGTGAGATTAAAATAAACCGAAACTAGAATTTGTTTGCGTTACACGTGCTCCTTTTAAATAGTGATCAAATGATCACTCAGTACAGTTTCGGCTAAATTTTTCAGTAACAAGGAATACAGGATGGTAGTTCACCTGTAATTAAGTCTAGCACTTCTTTTTTTCGATGACCTAGAGCTGCTTGTTTCGAAGATGTTGTTCCGTATTTGAAGTGCTTCAGATAAATGGCGTGTCAAGAGACTGGCTGCAGCTAGAGTTACGTACGCCTTTATGAGCTTCATATTTTTGAAATACATGAAATGAAATAAGCCAATGTGTTTCTATTTTTCAACTAAATAGAATATCTATGTCGTATCATCGAAAATAACCCTAAGTTAGAAACCGTGTTTCCAGCGGCTTTAAGAAAATATCATTTATAAGGTGTACTAACGGATTTTTCCTCTTATTATATGATTCATAGAGCGGCCCAAATGAATCTGAAAGACATCTAACTTTCTGAAAGGTCCCTGTCTTCTGAAGATGATATCATTTTGAACTTTGTCCCGTCTAAAAGAGGATTCGGTCACTGATCACATAATTTCTAATTTTCTGTTACTATTGGAAACAAAAAAACGGGTGTATGTAGTATAAACATATTTGATTTTATAAAAATAACAATTAAAACATTCTATATACGGAAGACTCATCACTCTTTATTTTTTGTCAGAATATCATCGATGGAGTTTCAGAACTGTAATCTCCTACTTTCACACCTGAAAAACTATTTTGGACAGAAGTAGGGAAAAACGCAGTCTTGAAGACGAAAGCTATATTTGAACTCAAAATACCGTCATACAGCTTGCTCATTTTCGACGGAACTTTATTTGATATAGTCGGGTTTTCGATAATCGTGGGCCTTTAAATGATCCATTTAAATGGTTTTTTATTTATAACCTCTCATTATTCGTGAAATTTATTGTTAATAAGTATGGCAGAGAAAAGGATAAGATAGTTTCAAACAGAATATTCACCTAAAATATAGCTAATGACAGCCGCAGAAAATATTAGAGGAGGCAAAAATATCAGAAATCTTAGTCCAAAGTATCACAGATATTCAAAGATGAACAACGCTTTGGTTCATAGCACATTTTTGATCAAAGAAATCCAAAGTCAATTCAAACGAGAAGACAGAAATGAGGAGAATGGAAGCTATATTCCAACGATGATTGGGGTGTCGAGGAGTGAGTAAACTACGTCTGTAGGCTGACGTAAGTAAATGGATTGTACAGCTTAACCGACAGTAATTCGGTGAGGATGCGTAGCTAATCGAGGGCTCAAAATGGTTCCTTGCAGTGCACAACTTTTGACCGGTATCATTCAGATAGTATTTCAGAAAGTACTCTTTTGTATACACAAAGATACTAAAAATTGGAAGCCTTCAAGCAGTAACTGTTATTATTGCTCTCCGATTGTCAAGAACAATGGGAAGTACCCTAAGTGAGTCAGTGTATTCAACAGCTCAATAACTCATAGATATCTTACCCATAGTAAGGCTTTCTTTATGGCTAGCCGTACACTTATTAGTAAAAGTTTCCACTTAAAATTGTCGATAGATTCCAGCCTCTGCAATGTACAATGCGAAAAATGGACGCAAGTTAAAACGGTTGCGTTACGAAAAACTGTTAATAACTGCGAAACAATGCAAGGTAGATCGATGTCTTCAAATAACAACAACTGATGTGGTAAATGTGCTAATATCTGGTTGATATATTGCAGATAATTATTTTACGGGCTCTTGGATTAAGTATCCAAGTCTTCGGCAAATATCCGGAATAATACTTAAGGATTTGAATAAGGTGCTGAAAAAGAGAACAGGGTGACGAGCAGAACAGAAAATATTCTTGTTCAAAGCCGAAAAATGACTCAGCAGATATTTTTTCAGATTAGAACACTAACTGTACACCTGCGCTTATAAAGGTTAATGAAGACAATCCAATAGTAAGATAACAATCTAGCAATTAATCGTATGAAGAGAGGAAATTCAGAAGAACCAATAATAATGTTGATGTACAGAATATTATAATGAAGAACAGTGATCTGATGCTTTTGTGATATTTTACTTTCCCTCTTTCTTATTAATTCTGTAGCTCAAGAAGTCATGAGTGATCTCTTTTGTTACAAATCGTTACAAATGCTATCACATTTGCTGGTAAAGTTAGCTGAGTTAGATTAGTAATAAGAGCCTGTTTCTGATAGCATATTTACATAATGTAACTGACAGGAACAGTTCGATACAGCCTTCTAGAGTAGCTTGCACAATTCAGGAGTGAATTTGTTAGGAAGTATCAGTCGGAAAGCGCTATATACAAGCTGTGACCGAAACGTGTATGTACAGAAGGTGCATTTTGCGTGGAAGCACTGCGAGAAGGTACAAAATAGAGAGAAAAAATCATCAACATGTCATTTGTGTTTATATAACCAGAGAATTGCTTAACCTCCAAAGGTGAGGCAGACGATGCATTGGTAAGTCAAGATGAAGACCATACTGACCACTCAAATTTAAGTAAATTGTCGTATTATAGCCCACAAATTGAGGAGTACTGCAATGAAGAAGGAAGAGTTGTGAAGCCTATCGAGTGGATGAAATGGAAATCGAAGTAAAAAGCTGGATGTCTATAGATTGAAACCGAAAATTCAGTAAGAAGAGTTAGATCTAACATTTCTCTATAAAATTCCAACCTCTAAGTCAAACTCTCATTGCCTGAGTAAGCATATGCAGGGTTGTCTAATCAGAATAGTGACCTCAGAAGAAGCAAGCGTGTAAGATGATTGAAGTGGTAGTTCTATTCCGACAGTGATGCCTACATCTTTAGTTTTAACTGACTCAGTCCAAGTTGAAGGCGCATGGCTACGCATCCTCACCGAATCACTGTCGGTTAAGCTGTACAATCCATTTACTTACGTCAGCCTACAGACGTAGTTTACTCACTCCTCGACACCCCAACCATCGTTGGAATATAGCTTCCATTCTCCTCATTTCTGTCTTCTCGTTTGAATTGACTTCGGATTTCTTTGATCAAAAATGTGCTATGAACCAAAGCGTTGTTCATCTTTGAATATCTGTCATATACTAAACGAGCCACCACTATTCTGCCCCCTGTTTAAATCATATATATTTACATATTATTAAAATTCGGGATGTTATTTTTATATATAT